GGGGGGGTGGAAGTCGGGGGCGCTTTGGACTGGGTGGAAGGGGGTAGCGGAAGGTGCATGGTGGGTGTTGGCGTCTGGCGCGCTGGATCTGGCTCCTTGCTTGCTGTCGTGGCCCTGGGCTGGTGCCCCGTCTCTCAGCCGCCGCCTTCAGACTCTCGCAGGAAGGCAGGTGGAGGGCGCGGACTCTGGAGCCAGGGTTTGCATCCTCTCTCCTATGACTTTGAGCCAGTGACTTCACCACCTTGGGCCTCAGCTTCCTCACCCCCACATTGAGAGCAAGATTAGTACTGTCTTACCGACAAAGGAAGAGCTGTACAGGTGTTTGTTTGCAAATAAACCAAGAGATCCTCGAGGAGATGGGCTTCACAGTTACTTAGATTGAATCGAGCCCTGCTGACGTCGACACAGTTTTTGACCTTCCCAACTAGCAGTTTTGTACAACTCCACCTAATTGATCACTGATTTTAAGTGTCATAATTAATATTTTAAATCAAGGGAGACTGCCAGATGATGGAGTGTCTGCCCTAGAAGAGCTGACAACCTGCAGGTGGCTGGAGGGGAGGTGGGGGGGGAGTGATTTGTAGGTGCTCAAATCCCTTTCCTAAACCTGTCACTCATATTTCCTCTCCTCTCAGGGCTGTTTCTCCATCCCCTGGTTCCACCCTAGTTTTTTTTTTTTTTTTTCTCCCTCATTCCCTCTTTTTTAACTCTCTTTGTAGATTATCCTCTGCCCTCCTTCTCGGAATGCCCACTTTCATTTGGAAAATCATTAACTTGTTGGATGTTTATCAGAGCGCCTGCCCTGAGCCAGGCATTGAAGATAGTGAGGAACAAGACAGAGGTGGGCCAACATTTGTGACAGGGGAGAAGGCAAACACAAGTGGTTACAGTTGTGTGTGTGGGTGTGTGTGTGTGTGTGTGTGTGTGCGCGCGCGCGTGGGGATGCCTGAACCCCAGGAGTCTAAGCAGACTACTTGACCCCAGGGGAGGTGGGGGGGCTTCTCTGAGGAAGCTGTGTTGTCTGGAAAGGAAACAGGCATGCAAATGCCCAGAGATGAGAACGAGCACGGCCTCTTTATGGAAAATTGTCACTAACTGGACAATAGGCAGGAATCAGTCATACAGGTTCTTAAGGTTCTCATAAATGTCTAAGAACTTAGACATTTATCAAAAGATCTTTGGGGAGACCAAAAGGTTTTATTCACAGGGCACGTTTTGGCCACGTAGGAGTTCAGGTGGGAGATAGTGTCCTGGACCACAGTTGTAAGAGCAGGACAGATGACAAGCACTACACCAATGAGTCTCTTAGATGCGCCAAGCCTGGTTTAAATGCTTTGTTTGCATTCTCTTGTTTCATCCTCACAACAGCCTTCTAAGGCAGGGAGGGATTACCTTCATCTCCGTTTTTAAGGCAAGCTGGGGCACAGAGAGCAAGTCACACAGTAACTTTCAGGACTGGGAACAGCAGATACCCTCTGGTTCCTACATTACACAGCACAGCCTCCCCATGGAACTGAGGCAAAATGGACAGATTTGAGAGATCTGGGTGGAGAAAGTGGTCCTCCACTTCTTCCATGTTCTCTCTACCTGTGCTTCCCAGTAAATAGCCTCTGCCTCTTGCTAACATTTCCTAACTGTCCTACCTGCTCCCATGTGCTCTTTGTTGCTGTCTTTTCTATATTCTTCCAAAAAGGATGCAGGGATGTCATGAGTACAGGTTTTCGAGAATGTGCTTGAGAGATCATCTAGTGCACCTGTTTATTTTAGAGATGAAAAGCAGGAACCCCAGAGGGGACAGTGGTCCAACCAGTGTCACGTCCTACCAGTCAGGAGAGAGTCAGGGCTAGGTTACAAGGTTCCCAACTTGTGCTGCCCTTTCCACAGTTCTGAACTCCCTGGAGCTGAAGGAGAAATCTACACCCTGAGAGAGGATGGTACTAAGAACTCACACCCGTTGAGCCATGGATTGCCTTCTAGTCAGTGTTGTAAAGGTTTCAGTGTGCCCAGACATTGAATTCTCACAAAAATCTTTTGAGGTAGACTGTCCCCTGCAAGTTGCAGGTGAGAAATCTGGAGCACTTAGAGGTTAAGCATTGTGCCCAGTGTCACACAGGATGGTATACTTGGGATGTGACCCTAAGCAAGAGGCAAGTGCGTGTATGTTGCTACACCGTGTCTTGGGAGTAAGGTAAGGTCTGGTGCGAATTCTCATATTTAGTGTCAAGGAGGCTACTACTTGGAGTATCAATGTCTGCTCAGGAGAGCAGTGTGGAGCCTGGGGCAGTGGCTAGGGGAAATGAAAGAATTCACTACTTTCTGCACATTTAATGGGGTGTACATTGTAAGTTAAAGAAGACCTAGCTTCCTTATTTTAACATTTTCTTGAATTCATTGTCTATTGATGTGACACATTTGTTAGCCATCTATCTTCTTTGGTAAACTATCTTTAAATATTTTCCCATTTCTTAATAGTGATAATTTGCATTTTCTCTTTTTTTTTACTGGTAAGTCTGGATAGAAGTCTGCCAATTTTATTTTTCAAAGAACCAGCTTTAGATCTTCTCTATTGCTTTTCTGCTTTTCAGTTCCTTGATTTCTGTTATAATCTTTATCATTTGCTTTCTTCTACTTATTTTGAGTTTAATTTGTTCTTTTTCTAGTTTTGTAAGGCAGAAGTCAATATTTGAGACCTTTCTTTTTTTCCTGTAAAAAGCACTTATTTTTTTGAGTTGGAGTCTCACTTTGTCTCCCAGCCTGGAGTGCAGTGGCACACTCATGGCTACCCCGCTGTCGACTGGGGTGGGTGCTGGTGATCCTTCCGCCTCAGCCTTCCAAGTAGTCGGAACTACAGGCACTCGCTACCATGCCTGGCTAGTTTTTTGTTTATTGTAGAGACAAGGCCTTGCCAAGTTGCCCAGGTTGATCTCGAACCCACAGGCTCAGGGAATCCACTCACCTCGGCCTCTCAAAGTGCTGGGGTTATAGGCTGAGCCACTAAGCCCAGCTGTTAAAAGCATTTCATGTGATAAATTTCCCCCCAAGTAATGTTTAAGTTGCATCTCACAAATTTTGATATACTGTTTTTAAAGATGTTTTTTCTGTTCAAAATACTTTCCAATTCCCTTTCAATCTCCCAAAGTCCAATGTTTTTAAAAAAATACTTTCATATATTTTTGTTTGGATTTTTAGTTATTTTAGGATGGAGGGTAAATTCCATTTTATGACTCTATCACGACCAGAACCTGAAGTCTCTGCTAGTTGTATTAAGTCCTTGTCCTGGTCCTCGGCTTTCTCTGCCCTCTGGTTTCAGGAAATGAAAACCTCTTTCTAATTCTGTCAATGTAGTCCTCTGGTTTTCACACTTAGCTTTTTTAATGACTTATTGGTTTCTCACAGCCTTTCCTTAATAACTGTATTAGTGGAAGTCACCCAATACAAGAGTCTTGTCAGCTATAGTTTCTCTTGTGTTTCTCCACAGCCTGACATATCACAGTTATTAGTGCCTTCCCTTCCACTGGAGTCCTCTTTCCGCTCAATACCAGTGAAAGTCTTTACAATTGCCTGGCTCTCTTGGGCCAGGCACTGTCTATGTTCCACCTACCAAGAGTAATGGTGTTACTCCTTGCTGCTCTGCCAGCAGGTGATCCCATTCAAAAACTCCATCTTGGCTAGCATCTGCTTACACAGACACTTCTGGTATCCACTCATCCAGGATGGGTTTTCCAGGAAGCTGACTCCTACAGAGAAGAGTTTGCAGGAGGATTATTAAAGAGTGTCGCTGGGGTTGGGAGGGAAGAAAGCAAGATTGGTCAGGGGGGAAGCTGGGCCATTCTTAACGAAGGCCTCAGCTAACCAACTGCAGGAGCTCTAAACTTGGAACAGACCTTCTGACTTGTCCAAGCTGGGGTGAAGGACTGGTTCTTTACAGCTCCTACATCTACCTGAATGTGTGCTCTCCTGGGAGGGGAACTTGGCTGAGGTGTCTCTTCAACTGAGGCAACTCCCAAAGAAGGTAGGTAGTGGAGGGCTGTCTGTTGGTGGAGCCCCCAGCAGCTGGAGGGGTCAATCCTTCACTCTTGAAGGGGTATCTTGGCAGTGCATCATATAATCCAGGACAACCTGGGATGCCCTTTCCACATTGGTTTTTCTGGCAAACATCTGCTCACATTTCAAGATTCAGCTCAGGCCTCTACTCTGTGAAGCCTCATCTGACCTCCCTTTTCTCTCTCAGCAGCACTGATGACTCCTCCTCTGCTCTCATTTTGCTTTTGTCATTGCCCCATAGCATGTTGTCTGTGCTTTTTCGTAGCATATTCTACATCAATAGCCCCCAAAGGCATCATTACATTAGGCTACAATGTGGCTACAGTGCTCATCCTGATGACCCCGAGCCAGTAAGAAAGGGCAGGGCAAATGTGCAATCCTGATTTGAAAAGTTTCCTTTGAAATGCTAAAAGAAAAAAAAAAATTCAGATGCCACAAGAGTTAACCCTCCTCTATTTGTAACCTTCATTTCTATGAAATCTCTGCTAGTTCTTTCAAGATGTCTGAAAATTCTGCAAAATTCGTAGTAAGCATGTATTAGTTGATTTTAATATAATCCAATGAGAAGGAAAGAGCTGTTTACATGACATGATATAAAACCTGAAGGAATGAACACTCAATTGTTGGCTCTGGGAGTTTCCAGAATTTTCCTTAATACACCGAGAAGATCTGGAAACACATGGCAGGACAACCTCCAA